CCCCAGTGCCTTGCCATGCACACCTGGAGAGTTCTCCACCCGCAACCACGTGCCCTTCCTGCACAGAAGCCAGCTGTTGGCGGATGCAGCAGTCACTCCCGGTGCTTCTCTCTTTGTCACCTCCCACTGCAGACGCTAGATGAGCACCTAGTTCCCCAGCCCCTTGCTCAGCTAGTGGTACAAATGTAACTGAGTTCTGGTCAATAAGATAGAACCAGAAGTCTGCTGGAAAGCTTCCAGGAAAGTCTACCTTTTCCTCATGAAAAGAAAGCCTACTCATGCCTGGTTGGGGTTGCTCTTCTTTGTCTGTCTTGCCTTCAATAAGGATATGATATTTGGAGCTTTAATAGCCATTTGCAACCATCAGGCATAAGCATGAGAGGAAACCTGAGACTCAAGACACCTTGACATCATCCAGCTGCTGTATCAGCTGGAGCAGCCTCATACTCTAGACCTTTTCCATGTGAGAAGAGTAACCCCCTACTTATTTAAGCACCGTGTGAAGGTTTCCTGTTACTTGTAGCCAACAGCATTCCTAATGAGATCTACTTTCAAGGTGGCACACACTTCTAATGCTACTCACCACTCTCTACCCTTAACGGGAGGCTCATTTTGATTTGCAGCTCTCAACACAACGCTTAGTGTGCAGTAAGTATAATAAAGACTCAACCACTTAATGAGGGATGAAGGAGTTCTGACACTCAGTTGGGTGGCAATTGGGCATTGCTTTTGCCTTTTCTCACATTTTACAATAAAATACATTTTTAATCAGCAGGGGGAAACTGCTGATAAAAATTACCTCTGAATACAATTTCCTCCTGCTTTTCAACAACAAGTATTTATAAGCATAGAGTAGGTAGGTATTGTGCTAAGCACCAGGAATGCAGAGATAAGATGGAATTTCTGCCTTCAAGGGACAAATGGCTGAAAGACAAGTAAACCAACAATGCTAATGGTGTGATATGTGTAATAAATATGAGAACACACCACATCCGATTATCTTCCGCTTTATCCAGAAACGAGCTGTCAGCACGGCATCCATCACCTCAACTTCCTGTCCTCTTACATTCCAACTTAAATTCACCTCCTGCAGAGTTGCAACTAAGAAGATGCCTGCTGCAACTAAAAGATCCCGCATGCCGCAATGAAGATCCTGTGTGCTGCAACTAAGACCTGGTGCAGCCAAAATAAATAAAGAAAAAAAATTCACCTCCTTCTGCGGTGGAGAAGGGAGTGTTCCACCTTCTGCTGCAAGCCAGCCCGCCACCTGGGCCCGCAGAGGCGCGGCTTGTCACTTCTCCTGTGGCCGTGCTCTAGCAGCCAGCCCCACTCCGGCATGTTAACCAGGCCTCCGGGCGGGAAGGTGGTCTACACTCACTGCTGTCTACTTCCTTCTGGTTCACTTCTTAGCGCCCACACTCTGTCTCTGTCTTAACCACTTCACTGATGCTGTTCTGGAAGAGGTCCCAGGGGTCCCTTCGCTGGGGACACTTCCCTCTTCCTTTACTGGACTTTGCTAAAGCAAGTGGCCTGCCCGCAGCACCTTCCCAAACAAGCAGCTATTCTGGCTTCTGTGACACTCTCTGCTTGCCCTCTCCCCGCTTCTTAGACTCCACAGGGGTCATTGAAGTGTGGCCCAGGGACCACTGGGGTCTTGGAGACCTTTCAGGGGATCCATCGGGAAAACGTATTTTTATCATCCCAAGGAGATATTTGCCTTTTTCAGCCCCATTCTCTTGTAAGTGGACAGAGGAATTTCCCAGAGGCTAGATGACCTGTGATATAGCAACAGGTTTAGGCGGAAACAAATACAAGAATCCACATGTCTTCCATTAAGCCAAACACTAAAGAGATTTGCAAAAATGTCAAACAATGTCACTGTCAGCAGTGGTTTTTTTTGGGGGGGTGGGAAGAAAAATGGTTATTCTTCATAAAGGTGTTATTTAGGTGAGTATGCAATGGGTTTATTAGTTTACTTAAAAATAGGTGCTTTAGGGCTTCCCCGGTGGCGCAGTGGTTGAGAGTCCGCCTGCCGATGCAGGGGACACGGGTTCGTGCCCCGGTCCGGGAAGATCCCACATGCCGTGGAGCGGCTGGGCCCGTGAGCCATGGCCGCTGAGCCTGCGCGTCGGGAGCCTGTGCTCCACAACAGGAGAGGCCTCAACAGTGAGAGGCCTGCGTACCGCATAAAAAAAAAAAAAAGTTTTAGTTTTAACTCCTAATATGAAAAAAATTGATAACTATGCCTCACATAAACAAGGCTTTTGGGGCCCTCAGTCACATTTAAGAATGCAAAAGGATCCTGAGACCAATACAGTGAGAACCACGTACTTAGACTGCGTCTTCCTGGCCTCCTTCAGGGGCTCTTCTTCAGCCAACACCTCAAATTCTGATGCTCTCTACAACAGCATCTTAAGCGCACTAATTTTCTCACCATAAACTAGGATTTCTCAATCTTGGCATGACTGACACTTGGGGCCAGAAAACTCTTTCTATGCGGGACTGTCCTGAGCTTGGTGGAATCCCTGGCCTCTAACTACTAGAGGCCAGGGGCATCCTTCCACCAAAATTGTGAAAACCAAAAATGTCTCCAGACACTGTCAAATAAAACTGGCCCTGGCTGAGAACCACTACCCTAAATACTCTTCCTGAAAATTTTACCAAATATTAAGATTTTGTAATTCCACGTATGATAAGGATTCTACTTATTTGGTGCCTACTGTGCCAGGCACAGCTCTAAGCATTTCATACGTATTCACTCACTTAAACCTCATCCCCTATGAGACAGATAAATCATCACCTCCATTTTATAGATTAAGAAACTGAAGAGCAGAGAGATGAAGTGACTTGCCCAGGGTCACACAGCAAGTGCGTGGTGATGACAACTCCAGGCTTGATTGCTTCTCTGAGCTTTAGTCTCATGTGAATAACTGCCTCTGCTGGGGACCCCAGCTGACATTCTCTCAAGATGCTCCAAAAATGAACTGAAAACTCTTCTCTCCACAAGATCAGATATTTCTGTATTACCTAAGTCAGTTAATCGTGCAACTTTCACATTTAACCTCTGTGCCTCAGTTTACCTAGTAACCTAGACATCTTTCTAGACTCTGCTTGGATTCTCTTCTTTACTCCTGAATCCAATCATTCATTGAAATCTAACAATTTTACCTTCTAATTATTGATCGAATGTATCTTTTCCTCTCTCTTCCACTATTCCTGCCCCCACTAGGGCCCTAATCTCTCCTCAGCACTGTCCTAATCAACTTGCATTTGGGGTCCTTGCATCTGGCCCTCACAAACATCTTCTATCTCGCTGCCAGAGTGGTCCGGCTAAAAGGCAAGTCTGGCCATGTCACTTTATGGCTTAAAGCTCTTTACCAGCTGCCCGTTAGCTAAGAAAAATGTCCAGGTTCCTTATCACGGCCCAGTCTTGCCTTCTGTCACCCCCAAATCACACTTAACTCTCCAGCAGAATTCTATTCTGTGACATCACCGAGCACACCAGAAGATGACACTGCTTCATGCCTTTGATCCAGCGCTACCTTCTGGGAAGCATTTTGATTCAACACCCTGTGCATGCCTGTCACGGCACTTGCCACAGTGTGTGACAATGACTCTACAACTGCGTCCCACAGAGGCTCGTAAAAAAGCCACTGATGGTAGGTGCCTTGCTGAGCCCAGCACTCTCATCTTTCCATCTCCAGGGGCTGCTATGGCACTGGGCAAAGTAGTTTTGGGAGTGTTTGGGAGCACTGAAGTAAAAGAATACGTAGTAATAGGACCTGTCTGAATGGGGGTGGGGAATGCAGAAGAAAGAGAATGAGGAAAACCTTCCAAAGGTTACACTGAGATGAACCTCAAAAGAAGCAGAGGAACTCAAGACAGAGGTTATTAGCGGGCATACCAGACAAAAAGAAGTAAAGAGGGAGGGGGTATCCTTGGAATCCACAAAACACAGCTTAATACAAAAGAAGGACATATTTTGTAACAGTTTATTATCTGAGAAGATAATAGTGGGAAATCTCAGGTTTTAGGGCCATGATTTCAGGAAATAGTGTAAAGTGATTACCAGATTCCTTTGGATAATACATTTATTTGTGCATAATAAATTTAACTCAAAACGATTACTCAAAGCATAATCTGAACCATTATTTTCTAAATATGTTACCATGTAATTTCTACTTCCTGCCCACAGGGTACAGCCCTGAGTGACTTATCTGCAATTCTTGTTTATTTTCAGTAAATTTAAACGACAAAATTTGTCTTCCAGACTGTGGTGAAAATGATTGCATATTAAGAGTAAGGATAAGGGACTCAAGATCAAACATGAGAATGGGGCAGGCGTGGAAAAGCTGGGCGCTACATTAAGGACATAAGAGTTTAGATTCTCATTCTCCTGCTGCTAAGATCCTAAAAGCTGGATCCCCATCTGGTGAGGCCAGGATAAACGTTTCAGCTCCTGGAAGCTGGCGAGCCCTTTTTCTCCTTTACCTTAACCTGCGTCTCCTCCTCACAAACCCCGCCCCACCACCGATGCCACAAGTAGAACGGATCCTGGCAACTAAAAAGGCTAATTAAGACACCTCTGAAATGAAAAGAATGGCTAGAGAGAGCATTCAGCTGTGGACAAGTGCTACTGACGGGTCACTTCCACGGTCAAGTCTTCCGATTCAACGGAAAGTTCTTATAAATGCAACAAACTGGTCCTGGCTTGAGCACCTGCACCTTGCCATCCAGCTTAAAGGCAGAGACACCACTAACCGCGTTCCCGGAGCAGAACCTCCTGGGGCTCCCGGCGCAGAGCGTCCGACTTGGGGACACATCACCGGACGCGAACGTTTTCTCCCGCCCGCGAAGGGCCATCCCCCGGCCGCCCCCCGAGGGTCCGCGGGCCACGCCGGCCGGCAGGGAGCCTCCCCTCGGGGCGCCCAGGCGGCCGCGCGGGGCAGGGGCTCCTGTACCCCGCCCGCGCCCGCGCCCGCACCTTCCGGGCCGCTCACCTGTAGTTGTAGGCGGAGAAGTGCTTGCTCTCCCTCAGCATCGCCCGGTACAAATCCAGCACCTGTGCGCGGCTGGAGGCTGCCATCTTGGAACGAAAAAAACCCAGGGGGGTCCTCTCCGCCGAGGTCCCGAGTTAAACGTGACTCCCGAAACTTCCGCCGCCGCGGGAAGCGCGAGAGGGACACGCGCGCGCGGCTCGGCGCAGGAAACGGCCTGCGCCCCGGCCCAGGTGAGCTCCGGCCGTGCGTGGCGGCGCAGGCGGGCTTCGGGCAGCTAAGGGGGCGGCGCCGGCGGGAGGTGTTCTCGGCGGCCGCCCCCACCGCGGGGTACTGCGGGCAGCGGCGGGCGGAGCGGCCGAGGGGCGGCGATGGCTGGGCGGCGGGTGCGGGGGGTCGGTGCTTCCTCGCTGTGGAGGGCTGGGGTTCGCCGGAGACGCCGGGTTGCTCCGCGTTGCCAGGTTACCGAGCGCGCGC